GGAGGCACTACTTGTTGGATGGAGCTAGTACCACTTGTTGGATGGAGGTACCATTTGTTGGATGGAAGCACCACTTGTTGGATGGAGCTAGTACCACTTGTTGGATGGAGGTACCATTTGTTGGATGGAAGCACCACTTGTTGGATGGAGCTAGTACCACTTGTTGGATGGAGGTACCACTTGTTGGATGGAAGCACCACTTGTTGGATGGAAGCACCACTTGTTAGATGGATGCATCACTTGTTGGATGGAGGCACTACTTGTTGGATGGAAGAAAAAACAACCTTTACACTCCATACATATAACCAAAGTTTCACCTCTGCGGTTTCCTCAGGATTAATATATATACACAAAGGCGCAACGTTGGTTAAAAAAAAAGTATATAAGGTCGTTTTTTCTCAACTTTTTATCAAAATGTCTAAATCCCTCCAGTGTAAACTACAAATTTTGAAAGACAACAAAAAAAGTACCATTCTTTTATATATGTGTAATAAGATTGTCTAAATGACTTCACAATTCAGGGAGAGGTAATGTTTAAAGATTTATTTTCTAAATTTAGACTTTTTTGTATCGTTGTTGGCAAGAGATAGTTTTACGTCACGTGATCAACGCGTGACGTAATAACTAGAATTTTCTTGAAAAATTAGGAACGATTTAAAAGATATATAACGCGTGTTAGGTGAGACAAAAACTGATTATTGAGTCAGCTAGTCAGTGAATCGGCGGTAAGTTTACGATCTCACAATGCTAAAATCCGGAGTTCGATTTCCCACAGTGGACAGAGTGCGATAACGACAACTACGAAATAATAGTGTGTTTGTTTGTTTTGAATTTCGCGCAAAGCTACACGAGGGCTATCTGCGCTAGCCGTCCCTAATTTAGCAGTGCAAGACTAGAGGGAAGGCAGCTAGTCATCACCACCCATCGCCAACTCTTGGGCTACTCTTTTTACCAACGAATAGTGGGATTGACCGTAACATTATAACGCCCCCACGGCTGAAAGGGCGAGCATGTTTGGTGGGACGGGGATGCGAACTCGCGACCCGCAGATTTCGAGTCGAGCGTCCTAACCACCTGGCCATGCCGGGCAAATAAAATAATAGTAAAATGAGAAGTATTACACTCACTAGAAAAATAACAAATAAGTATAATTTCTATCGAGACTTTCGTTATCGTTAAGTGGCATGGACTATGCATTACTTTCATCAGATCATCTAAAAGAACCCGCCAACCAATCGAAACCCTCACAACGATATTCAACATTTTTTTTTATAGTATCAAGGCAACCTTGTATTATTTTTATTACAAAACCTAATTTTTCACATTTTTCAGGGGTAAAATGAAAAATAATTCTGCCAGCGTGCAGATTTGAATAGTAAAAGACAATTTTAACAGCACATTGAAAATATTAACGAATTTCATCAAAGCAACGTCAAAGAGATTGTGGCATTTAACAATTTTTTTTTTCTAATAAAAATCCTGCCCCCCCTCCTCCTCCCCCCCAGTGGCACTGCGATGAATTTGAAATCTTCTAACGTTAACAATCGTATACAACATAAATAATCAAATATATAACTTTGTCCTTAATAACAAAGGTCCAGTTTAGTTGCCAGACGATTACTGCAAACTTGAAATGAGCTTTTAAATAAAAGCTGGATGATATATACATATATATATATTTAGCCTTACAGACAGAACCAACAGAAACACAAACTGATGATTTTAAAACGTCAAAAACTATACAGATACATCTACAAATTAATATATATTCAATGAATAAACATCAACTATACAATTTAATGGTAATAATACAGTTACGTGTAATATTTTCTATTTTCTGGGCATATAAAATAAAGTACTTTAGAAAAATTAAATAAATAAACGAAGCTTTTTTTTCCCCCACCCCTCACGAATGAAATGTTTGTTTACTTTTATCACTTACGCCTGCTTTTAAAAACTCCCAGCTCAATAACAACGTTTTATTCAGGCGCTTTTGCAATGCAATCATACACTAGGCCTAACCCTTTGCGCACAAGACGCCAAAACAGAGGAAGCACCCTTACTTCCGCATGAACGTGTCACGTGAGACGAAGGTGACATTTGTAAAGTATTATGTACATATAATGCTAAAACATGTTAATAAAGCTCACAGAAAGAAGATATTTTTTGACAAAACGAAATCTTACAATCTAGGCTTACTTGAGATTTAGTATTCCTTCTTCAAATTCCTTGTAAACAAAGTCCAGACTGATATTGTAGCTTTCACTTCTGAATACTTAATCACATCTCTCCAATTCTGTCCGACCTTGAAAATCGTGTGTACATGTAATTTATCTCGCAAGCAAGAAGGCACGTGAGGCTGTGTAAATTCAGCTCCACGAAGGCTTCTAATGTATCGCTGCCAGGCTAGCCTTCCGCTAGACATTGGGGAATAGCTATGATCTGATAACAAACTGAGTACACGTGTATAAGTGTATGACGGAGCACGCGACGAAGCAGATTGCCTCTAAATCAGGCGGCATCTATCATTTGGTCTATGTGGCCGATACTTCAATTCTGTGTAATATTAGATATATACACTAACGTTCCAACTTCTAAGCGAGACTTCTCTATACAAGTAGCTTCTAGACTTATCCTGTAGCTCGATTTGAAATTAAAATATTTGTAACTGTTGCTCTAACTAGAAACTTCTTTTTTCAATAAACACGTCCAGTGCTATGTTAAAATATTCGCGCTCGTTTAATACGTCTTCTACATTTAAGATTACGATTATGTGAGCCCTTACCAACTAAAAAACACTGGTCACAGCCAGCTAAGCATACAGTTGATCCCTCCCGTTGTATAACTGAAGTAACTTCTGAAAATACGTTTCTAATTAGAACTCCCGGAAATTTATCGTTTCATCGTTATTTATAAATTATTTCCAAATAACATTTTGTTTATTGCGACTCAAGTAATTAATGAACAACTGGCAGAGAATACCATACATGATACTTATCCAATTGAAAAAATAATGTTAGTCTTAGGATACGAGTTTATTATCGAATATTGACATCATCTCTAGGGCAATTAGTTGAGGTGTAATGAACCAATGGAAGTTAGTTTCACTTGGGAAGAGATATAATTATATTTATATCTGATACCTTTTTTTTTTTACACTTATTCAACTTTTAAAATATAACAATAATCAAATCTAGGTTTCCAGCCGACTGAGCATCCCCCCCCTCTCGATAAAAAAAAAGAAAAAAAGGAGTAATAGTAACCATAAACTATAAAATAGCTTTATGTGGACATCGAATCATATTGTTTTGCTTCGAAGCTAAACAAAAAAATAATTAGGCTTAAGGGGCGTAGGAAGAAATATAGAAGTGGGTGGGGTGGGGTGGAAGATGCTACTTTTGAAGGAAAAAAAAAAGAAATGTGTTACAAAAGTCATGTTCCGGGAGTATTGTTTGTTTGTTATGAATTTCGCGCAAAGCTACACGAGGGCTATCTGCGCTAGCCGTCCCTAATTTAGCAGTGTAAGACTAGAGGGAAGGCAGCTAGTCATCACCCCACACCGCCAACTTTTGGACTACTCTTTTACCAACGAATAGTGGGATTGACAGTCACATTATAACGCCCCCACGGCTGAAAGGGCGAGCATGTTTGGTGTAACGTGGATTCGAACCCGCGACCCGTAGATTGCGAGTCGAGCGCCTTAACCACCTGGCCATGCCGGGGCCTTCCGGAAGTACTGCCTCCTCGAAAACAAAATTACAATTTTCACTGAAAGTGGTGCATTTTGATCGTAACCGAGGCTGCCGTAAGACATATTTCAAATATTTTGTACATATAAGGGTGCAATTTAGAGGATGGGATCGCCCCCTTCTTGTGCGCATGGGTGTCACAAAAGCTACCAATTTGACATTGTACAAAAAGAAACAAAAGCGATTGGTGTCGTCCAACCAAAGAAGGTACTCGTTATTCCCTTCGTCCATGAGACGATCTGCCCTCGACAATAGGATACTAAATATATACAGCGTTCATAAATCGTGATTATTCGCTGCTTTCCTTTGACTACCAACATGGGTACATTTTGTACTATTTCATTATTATAAAAAAGTTTTATTTGCTCATAAAAACCGTAAGAAAAAGTTGTGTTCAAAATATATCTATATTGGTCTCTTAAAAAAAATAAAATAAAAATTTATGCTTGTTTGTCCGAAGTTAAGCACAGAGCAACACGATGGGCTATCTCTGCTCTGCCCACCCGGGTATCAAAACCCGGATTCTAGCGTTGTACGTCCGCAGACATACCGCTGTGTCACTGGGGGGTAAATATTCATGCTTAGTTTGATTTTATAGTCACGTTACTTACCAGAAAGCAAGTTTAATTGAGCTATTAATTACTTCGGGAAAACTTGATACAACCTTGTTATGTCAAATGATAATACTTTACTAAGAAATTTAGTTAAAATGCTACAAGAAAGAAAAAAAACAACGAAAAACGTGAAATGTAACAGTTATAATAAGTATGTAAAAATTTACTGTTAAATGTTTAAATTCCATTCTTAGTTCTGAATTTAATTATTTGATAAAGTTAATCCGTTGGAAAATAAACAACTTAAGCCAATTCAACTATTTTCAAATCGTAACTCCAATTTTATCTCAATATATTTTTTACATCAAGAATCCTTATAAGTCGTGTGTTGAGTGGCCAACTTTCCAAGTCTCTGTTTTGTCTTTCTGTTTTATTCTATATTTTAATAATAACAATAATCCACCTGTCTGTTCTTAGTGATAATATTTATTACACTAATTCTTCTTGATGTCTTACTATTTTCGTGCTGTCCATCCATTACATAAAAGTTGTCTTCTTGTCTGTTAATCACTGTCTGCCTGTTTAATATTTAGTGGTTTTGCAGGTCAACATGATCTATCTCCCCTCCCCCCTAAGAAATAGTGGCTCAACCCATTTTGTGGCCCAGCATGGCCAGGTGGTTAGGGCGCTCGACTCGCAATCTGAGGGACGCGGTTTCGAATCCCCATCCCACCAAACATGCTCGTCCTTTCAGCCGTGGGGGCGTTATAATGTGATGGTCAATCCCACTATTCGTTGGTAAAAGAGAAGCCCAAGAGTTGGCGGTGGGTGGTGATGACTAGCTGCCTTCCCTCTAGTCTTACACTGCTAAATTAGGGGCGGCTAGCGCAGAAAGCCCTCGTGTAGCTTTGCGCGAAATTCAAACACAAACATCAACCCATTTTTTTTATATGATGGGCTTAAGATATTGCCCACCCACCCCCTTCTCAACCCGGTAGCTCAGCGGTAAGTCTGTGGACGTATAACGTTGAAATCTGGGTTTTGATACCTGCGGTGGGCAGAGCACAGATAACCCTTTGTATAAGTTTTATGCTTAATAATAAACAAGCAAGCTTGAAATACTTGCTTTTATTTCCAACCCCCCCAAAAAAACAAAATCCACTTTCCTTATCTAGTGATCAGTGAGAGAACATTGACATGCTTTTCTTAGTTTCTTCCACCAGGTTTTGCTGTTGGATGTGAGCTATTGAGAACGCATAAATACTCACAGGTATATTAAGGCTTCGTGTATTGTGAAAGTAAATCTGAGTGCCTCTTGGCAACAAAGAACTGTTTTGTTTTTTTCGTGTTTTTTTAAGCCTATATTTCTTTATATTAATTTTATTTGTTTGTTTTGGAATTTCACGTATAGATACTCGAGGGCTATCTGTGCTACTTGTCTCTAATTTGGAAGTGGTGGACTAGAACCAACGAAAAGTGTGACTGACCATCACTTCTAACGCCATCAGAGCTAATTTTCTTTATAATAAGTTTACTTAATATTTTTTTCACTATAAAGTTTATTTAAGATAATTTCACTTTGTAAATGATTTAGGGCTAATCTAAATCTGAAGTTTGTGAGATAATATTGGGATTACAATATTGTTGTAAGCTATATTTTTAATGTTGTAACTTGTTGGCTAGAGAGGGCTGCGGGGTCATAAAGACGACGTCAGGATTAGAAAGTTTAATAATATTAACATAGGCATAGAAAAACCATAGATTTAATGTTTTGTTTTTCTAGTAGCTTCGAAGAAATATTATGAATATAAGGTTCTGAGAGTTTTTTGTTTGTTTTTTTATCGCCTGTAGAGTGTTAATCAGTGTGTTACTTATTGAATTACTTTGTCCAAGTAAGTGGATTTGTTTAACGTTAGCGTCGTTTGCAAAAGACTCTAAAACTAAATATTACTACAGGGTTCAAGATTGTAAAAACGTTTAAGGAGGAAATAAACTGATTTGTTCTCGTTACGTGAACCATGGGTTGATTTATTTTCACCACATACTTTTAAAATATCCCGGCAACGAAAGACTAACGTTTGTTTGTTATGAATTTCGAGCAAAGCTACACGAGGACTATCTGCGCTAGCCGCCCCTAATTTAGCAGTGTAAGACTAAAGGGAA